ATTACTCTTTACGTTGTGAAAGTTTTGTCTTCTTGAGATCAAGGGTTCAAGTCCCCCTCTCCCTCCCAAATATATCTATATATATATATATATATGTATGTGTGTGTGTGTGTGTGTGTGTGTTTGTGTGTGTCACGATTTGGATATATCTATATCTGATTTGATTATGATTCGATCAAAATCATTTATATATTTTTATATAAATATTTAAAAAAATTAATTGAAATTTAAGTATAATTAATTAAAATTTAGTTATATTTTAGATTGAATTCTGAATTATTGGCGAATATGGATAGAAATCACAAAAATAAATTTTGTCAAATTATCGGGTCAAATTCGAATCAAGCTTTTGAAATCGGATTTAAATTTGGATCAATCCAAACTTAATTCATTGATAGACCTACTTGAATATTCTAACTGAGTTATAAATGAGAGAGAACTCGCACGAATAGTTTAGTAGTATAAGATCAATCTTGAAATGAATCATAATTTCAAATATTTTGAGTTTTCAATTTTTGTTGGGGTTTCTAGTTTAGCTGATACCTATAATTAGCAAGTAATTGTAGGTATCCGATTTTGTTTTATGGGAATAGGTTCAATATGACGTTACTATTAAGAGATTCCCCCGGAAGAAAAAATAGAAAGTTACAAAAGAGGAGTACGCAATTGTCCTCTTAGTATCGACCTCAAGGACGACGTCGACGCATGCTATTTGGATACCTACTAGTAAGCAAAATAAATAATAATAATAAATAAAAAAAAATCACATAAACACCCCCTAAAAGTTGCATTTGTTATAGTCTCCCCCTTGAGGTTTTCAACTTTCAAAAACAAAAGATTGTTCCTTAAAGTAAATTCAATTTATAGTCAATGTAGGAGGAGGAGGAGGAGATATTGGGGGTAGAGGAGATGGGGGAGGTTCGGGAAGGGTAGTGGGTAGTCGATGGTGGGTGCGGGGTGCAGAGCTGGCTCAAGTCAATTTAAAACCTAAAGTGAAAATATTAAATGGAGGCCTTTTAATTTTAGTATTATTTTTTTAAAAAAAATATATTTTTTTAATTTTCTATATGAGTGGGAGGCAAAAGAAAAATGTGTTAATATTGTCGAAAAAGAGATTTCAATTATTTTTTTTTGTTTTTTACCACAGAGGAAAATGTTGTTTAATTTCAACTTTTATTTTTATTTTTTATATTTTTTTATCAGAGAGAGAGAGTAGGTGAGAGTAAATATAAGTTGACTTTTGAATATTTTTTTATTGTAGGTTTAAAATTTGATGGATTTAATTTTTTTTTTATGGGCTAGTGATGTACCTAAAATTATGAAACCTTCTAAAAATTTGGGCCTGCTTTGGCGGGGTGGTAATTTAGACGACCTACTCGGGCTCGACTCAGATAAAATTCGGCTCAAGCTCAACTCGTATTCTACACGAGATGAGCTTGAACAAATTTTTAGACAAGTTACTTGGGCTCGGGCTCGACGCAGATATAATTCGGGTTGAACTTAACTTGTATTCTAAACGAGATAGGCTTGAGCAATTTTTTAGGCTCATAAGGACGGTTCAAGATCGCAAAGTTCGACTCATCTATAGTAAAATAGTTGAGCTACTCAGACTTAGCTCGGCTTGGACTCGACTCAGATAAAACTTTGGTCGAACTCGACTTGTATTCTAAACGAAATAGGCGTGAACAATTGTTTAAACTCGTAAGGCTCAGTTCAAGCTCGCAAAACTTGACTCATTTATATGTAAAATAGTTGAATTATTCGAACTCGGCTCAGGTTCAAACTCAGATCGAGTTTTAAACGAGCCGAACTTAAATAATTTTTTAGATTAATTTAAAAAAATAATCTCATCAAAATTAGACTCAAGTTCTTAAAAATTGGCTCGATTAACACGCTGGTAGTTGTAGAGGGGGAAGGGCCGTTGGAGGTGTTGGTGGTGAGTGTCAAACTCTGGACTGATCAGTCTGATCCGACTCAAACCTAAACTTAAACCAAACACCGGAAAATTTTAAAAAATTATTTAAGCCTAAGAGTAAATGGAAAGAGTTCATGATCAACCCAATATTCAGATTCTAATGTCATCATATATATGCAATATTCGTTGGTAGTCAACTCATTAGGCTGCCAACCCATGCCAAATGTTAGTCAAGAAATAAAAAAAAAAAAGGAAATGGATACTAAAAAGACTCTCGCTACACAAGTCGTGCCATCGCATTCGTTCAATCAAATTGTCAAAGCAACAGTGATAAAAGTTATCAAGTGTACGAATGAAATCGAAATAACAAGTGCACTTCAAAAGTCTTCTCCACTCTTTCATAGCGGAGCAGACACAAGGAGTTCACAAGAATGGAGAATGGTGGAAATAATTATCAATTTTTTTTTTTTGGATATCTATATCACTTTCTTTAAAGTTTATTTACTTTTTGAATTCGCTTACCACTTTTTTTTTTATGAAACTTGTCATCGTTTAAGATTTTTTTTTTTTTTTGTACTTTTTAGTATGATACTAGATGGTGTTTAACAAACTTTATATATATATATATATATTGTAAACGCTAATAATAAATAAAATCAAAAGGAATGCATCATATTCTGATACCACCTTAAATAGAGAACAAATTCTCAACCTTTTTTCGAGAAAACTTTGAAAGTATTATATAAGGATAATTAGACCAACTATTCATAACAACTCTGAACTTGAAGGCAAATGTCAAAAGAATCTTGAAAAATAATTTTAAGGGTAGTTCAAATAATAATAGAGACGAGTTATAAATTCAGACATCTTGAATTCGAATATTGACAACTCTTTGAAGTCAGATCGTAGGGAATTAATTTTTCATGAATACCCTAGTTTTGGCATAGATGACCTACTTTTAACCGGACCAGAGAGAAAATTAATTGAGATGCACGTAAGTTGACTCGGACATCCTGGCTATTAAAAGAAACTTGAAACATAAATTGGAATGCATTCCAAGTTTGAGGTGGATTCATATAAATAACACTAATTGGAAATTACTCTATTTTTGTGCAACAAGCTTTATTTTACCTTTTTATTCAGAGAGTACAAGAGAAGTCTACTATCCAAACTCGACTGAGAGTATTAGAAAATTAGAAGGTGATCACTAAGATGATTAAAAGGAGAAAAATGCCTCGTTAAATTGGCTGGCAGAGGAGCGTCGTCAAGCGCAAATTAATGTGCTTATAACTTGGCAATTTGAAGTATAATATACGATCAAAGAAGAGAAGCAAGTCGAATTGCAACCAAAACCAAAATGACTCACTGGAAAACAGTAACACATGAGGCTAGCAGAATAAAATGTTCCAGTTTATATCAAGACTAGGGATTGCATACTCAGTTGAAATTCTGAAACTTACAGTGCAGGAACAAGCTGTACAACTATTTGGGGATTGACCCACGACGGTAGACACGAATTTGATGGGGTAAAATGCCAAGAGGTTGCTCAGTGCATCCATTATCCGTTAAGTTTGCAAATTCACCTTTGGCAGATATCCTGCGCAAGAGCAGTTGAACAATAGTGTTGGCTATAAAATGGAAGGAACCAAATCATAAAATTCTATTATGCTACAACCTCTTCCTTAAATAAGGCTTGTTAGATCTCTGAAAAATCAGCAAACAATTGAGCTGTCACAAAGTTTTCAAGGACTTACCCATGAGGATTATGCAGAATCCCAAGTAAAAGTTCAACTGCAAGTGCCGAATCAATAGCCATGGACGCGTAACCAATCAAATCATAGAAGAAATTGCAATAACAATTGATGGAGCTAAATATGTGTTAGGGTAAAGCACGTGTCAGGAGCGATCACGAGACAAGCACGTGAGTTGGATCCGGTGTGGGGAAGCAGCCCCAGAACCCAAACCGACTTGCTTAACAATATATATCCCACCATTTTATAGCTCAAACCAGATGCAGATACTTGGGGACGAAGGTTCCACATTTCTTGCCACCCAATTTGAAAAGCAGTTACAGAACTCCCAATGGTAACATGAGCTTAGCCAACAAAGGGAAGGAGGCAACTATGCCCAGGTAAGTAACGCTTTTACGTAGGGGTGTTCATGGGCCGGGTTACCCACGAGTCTTATTATGCAGCCCGAAAAAAATAGGTCCGAAGTTCGATAGACCCGATAGTTGGCCCGTTCGAGCCCGAGCCCAATATCCTTTAAGAAAGGGCTTGAGTTTACCTCTAAACCCATTACCCGGCCAGAAACTCGAAGCCCGACCCCAATAACCCGCTCAAATACCCCGGCCCAATAACCCGCCAACATATCCGAAGCCCGCCTGAAGCCCATACCCGTCCATATATGTTTTTTTTTTGGATCAAACATATATGTTTATGTTAAGAGGTGGAGACTTTAGATATTATGATTGATGTATTTTTTTTCATGTATTAAATATTCTAACTTTTCATATACAAAAGCTTTTAATGGGTAGAATTGTGCAAATAATTGATAGGTGAGTAAGTACCAACCTAGTTGGGATGTACTCATTCTATAATGATGCAATTTCTCTTCTATTCATTTGTTAAAATTATTCACTATTTAATTTTTATCCATTTTGATTTTGACTATACTTTTAATTCAAAAATATAATTTACAAAAAAATTAAATAATGTTGTATATTTTTTCAATAGGGCCCAACAAGTCCACCCAAAATAGACCCGCCCAATAGGTGACAGGCTGAATTGCGGGTAGCTTACCCCTACCTAAAGCCTGGCTCGGAAAAATATTTCACGGGCCGAGCCCGGTCCGACCCATGGACAGTCCTACTTCTACAATTCTTTTATGGACTTTAGTATCGGAGGGTTGACCACCAAAGTCCCTCCGATCCTCGACGGCGGACGTTGTATCATCGCTTCACCTTGGTGCTGTTTTTTGGGAACAACAATAACATAATACTGATTGCTGTTGAGAACATTATATCAACTGGGATAATTACATCATAATACAGAAATAACAACCCAATCTCTTCCCTCTATCCATGTCACTTAGAAGGAAGCTTCCTATTTTTTTCAGCAGAAGTGGCAGCTAGAGCTTCAGCTTGAAAATAGGAAGTGGTCCTGAGAGGACCAACACCATGGCACATAGCCAAAAAGCTATCAAAACCTAAAGCTGCATTAATGATAATCTACATGAAAACAAACGTGTTTCAGTAACAATCAATCAACATAGCCCAAGCCACCTGATGTAAATTATGAAGGAAAGAACTAAGGATGAGAAGAGAAGAAGAAGTGGATGAGAAAAGAGAAAGAATTTGAGAAAGAAGAAATGTTAGTATTTAATAATAATCAAAGTCTCCCTAAAACAAATTCCATATCCCCTATATATAAAAGGGGAGTACAAACCCTTAAGCAAATAAATAGTTAAAATGACAACTAAGTCCCAAAAAGTAAAATGACAAATAACTCATAATTCATACGTCTACACCTACTATAACGAAATACAATCCAATTCCTATCACCACCTATATAGAATTTGGAAAATGTAGTGTCATCCAAGTTTGCCTCATGAACTTTATGTGCCCAAATTCCATATTGATAGGAAAAAGTCAGAACAGATTAACCTTGTTAGCATTGTCACAAAGAAGGATTGGAAGCCATCTACTTTCCTGCGCATCAATCATCCAACAAGAAAACTGCATTATGAGAATCATTCAAAATTTGTAGCCGTCTGCAATCCTCAAGCACACTATTCTCTTCTTGGCTAGGCACTGGATGCCCAGGCAACCATATAGCCATCACAATATCTTCTGCTTCCTGCAAAGAAAAACAACATATATCCACTATTTAAAAGAATCAACATTTTCTTGGATTAAAAAGAGCTGTAAAGGGTAAAATAAAGTACCACTGCAGGAAATATCCTATTGAGAGCTTTATCCACTGCTGTGGCTTCAAAATCACTATTTAGGCAGTCAACCAAGCAGTATAAGGGCAGCCTCAGTAGAGTAGACATGGCTACCTTGCAACTGTCAAGTAGCGCAATATTTCTAACACCCCAAGCCTGCAGAGATACATAAATTTTCATCATCCAAGCAACAGATTTGTAAAATCTTTACCTAGACTTCTCCGACACTCACCATAAGCATGCAAGCAACCTGGCATTCATGTGTACCCGCACCTAGGAGAAGACACACTCGCAGACAAAATGTTTAGGTTCGAAGTTGGCAAGTACTTCATCTCCTTAGTTTTATGTTCAAATCTGCTGCTGATATGGATAGCCTATCAAGAAATAACATATAAATTTCAGGATGAAATGGAACTACAATCCAGGGCCTTTAAATAATAATTCACTCAACATACCTTATTGGATCAATGGACTCGGCAAGGCTGATACACCTAGGTACCGTCTTCCCTCTGTTAAGTTCCCATCCCACAGCATTTGGAATATCTTGAAGATCTTTCCAACCTTAACATATAATCTTGACGTGTTCAGGAAAGCTATTGTAGAAGAAGGAATAGTAAAAAGAGTTGAAGCATCAATAAGCAGAGAGCTGCTACCCAATTTCTGCCGCTCTACCTTGTGAAACTGATATCAGTGTCACGCACAAGGGACAACCCCAAATCAGAAAAAACCACAGTTCTCAAGATATCATAAGAAGTGAATCTACTTGAGAGTTGAGACCCCATCTTGCACGAACATATGAAGTGAAGTTGCGAAGAGGCCAACCAGGATTAGTTGGAAGATGACAAGGATCATAAAAACTAATTAGGAACTGCCAGTGACAAGTAAATAAGCTTTAAAAGAGGAGACATCCAAAATTATTCAAATCAATCATAATTGTAGGTTTCAAACCATTGAGAGTTTCCTTATGATCATCATCTTTGCAAGCTCAACAGTCTGTGAAAGCCCTACTAGTTGAGTGGAAATTCAAAGCAATAGAGATCAGAAAAATGGCACCATTAGCTTTTTTTTTATAAGGCCTATTAATCCAACCATCCACATTGATTTAATAACTTCTTAGTAAACTTTTGTTGGTAAGCACATCATTTCCCCAACAGCTGATGGTTCTAACATAGCCCAGAAATCATCCTGTCTAAAAATTTATTTCTTGCAATTTTTTAGTTTTCAAGGTTAAAATTACATACTTCGACCTTTTAAAATTTAATAAATGGCCCTGTGCATGAGACTCCCCCATCAATGCAGGATATAGATGTATGCAATTTTACACCGGCATGAGAAACTATTTCCATGACTAATGTGCTTGAGCTTAGGTAACAATAGAACAACATTACCAGGCCCACCCTCTTCAATCCTTCAAATTTGTTTTAAGCAATCCATACATTTTTTTTCACAAAGACGTTATTCTACAAATAAGCAATAAAAAACATAGAAATGAGTGCAATTATACTCAAAACTATCTCGAATTGTGAACTGATTTTTTTCAATTGTTGATTGGAATCGCCATCCCAAAAATATTGGGACAAAGCTTTGTTGAATTGAGTTCATTGGAGTTGCTAGTATAATACTTCAACACATACAATTTAAGCATTAACATCAGTGGGCCATTTTGAAGTATTCTATATTATCGAATAAACAGCAGCAGGCAATTTTGAAGGAGATACATATGGCCTCACAAGATAGAATAAACATCAGCAGGCCATTTTGAAGTGTTTTTACATATTATAACTCACAAATTTAGTCATCTACAACACTTAGTAACTTCATACAAATCCACATACAGAAACTACAAACTCTTTGAGTAACTTTATAGCAATCTACATACATAAATACCAAGTATAGATTCAACGTGAAAGATGGGCTCACTGATCCCCCCACTAAGATTGCCATGCTCATGAAGATGAGCTTTACTAGTTGATTTACCATGATATGCACATCAGTATCATCACCACCACGATTGCAATGCTCACGAAGATGAGCTCGAGTAATCAAAAAAAGAAACCCGTCGCCTCTTGTTTGGAAGCGTTGATCGTGGCGAGTATTCTGGAGAAGCAGAAACCTTATCCAAGATAGAAGTCAAAGCCTGATGAACAGAACTAACAATAAGTTCCCGTGACTCAGCATTCCTACAGTTGCTTTCTCTGCCGCTGGTGAAAACAAATACATTTTTCACCCGGCTTCCCAAGGTTGAGATTTCTGCCTTCACAATGGTTAGCTTAACGGCATCGAGGGTTCGTCTCAGATCAGATATGAGCTCAGGCCTGTAATCACAACAGATAGATGCCCTGAAGGAATAGGTTCCATCTCTTGCACCCTCATCAAGTGCTTCGACTCTCACTTCATCAGCATCCAATGGAATGAGTAAACCTTCACTTGCTTCTGTTGCAGCCTTCTTCATTTGTTTCACTTGACATATAACTTCAGCAAGCAGTGTGGCTTTGTCCATCTATCAATAACAGATCATACTCATTGTCAGGTTCAGAACACGTCAAACAGAAATGACTATAAACACTTCTAGTGCTTATACGTGTCTGTATACAAGGACAGCAATATTGTAGATTATTAAGTAAACTGAATCAATAACAACATCAAAAGAAGGAAGACCAGACTCAGGATATCTTTTTATCAGAGAACATTTTCAAAACCTCTCCACTACATAAAATTTTCTGATCTTAAAACGTATATGAGAGGCATTCTCAACATGAGGTGGGAAAAATGTAGTATTTCCAGTTTTCCTGGCTGAAATTTTGAGAAGCTATTCATCATTCAATCACATGAGACGACTAAAAAGCAAAAGAAAAAAACAAAGATGCTGAACTGATTGGCAGATATTTTAAACTAGCTGAAGTTTCATGTGTCCTCGATTTAGTTTCCACATATCACAGAAATTTACTTGACAAAATGTTAAGAGAGAATATCCTTTTTGAATCAAACTTAAAACATGCAGTAATGAATACTGCTAAGAATTTGTCTTATTTCTTCAGAATTTAGACAAGAAATTGTGCTGATTACATCTTGTTTATTTTGCTGATAAAACCCCACACAACAACTGCAAAAAAATAATTAAGCATAGATGCTGATTATTTGTTCATAATAATTGATAGCTTGTCATGCTGACTCCAAGACTTGGCTTACTACATGTCTCAAATCGAAGGCAAAAGTTAAACAGAGCCAATTATTATGAAGTAGAGACTCCATATTAATGCAGACCCAATTGAGAAAAGTCAAAAACTCAGGTGGCTTCTGTGATCAAGTAAACTTTTGCAACCATGACAGATGATACGAAAGCAGCTTTACTACTAAATTAGAGATTTGAAAGTTTAATGGTATATCTTATCTATCATGTCGGTTTGTCACTTACGGCAGTGCCTTATTATGATATCATATCACATTGATCAATTAATACACTAAAATAAGGTACATACCAATATTTTAACGGATAAACAACTAGCACGGAACCCCACCATTTGGTCATAATTGTCAGCTATCACTTTCAAATGCATATACAGCCGCCTCAATACAGTAAACTTTGACAGCGAACAATTAATATTTATTTTTGTTGGCAAACAACCCCAAGATCCTCAAATTAATAAACGAGGTCATTGTTTTTTTCTTTTTAACTCAATATAATTGTAGCCTTTTCCTTTCATCAGCAAAGGGCTGTATGACACAACTGCGCGATAAATTGACAGAACACTAACTAAGAAGTCTACCTCATTTGTAACTATATCGATTGAGAGCTGACAGAGAATCACAAACTCCGATGTCCATCACTAGGATCATCTTGATAAATGCACACAGAGCAATGTGGTGATTTCTTTATTTTTGTAATCGGAAAAGCACAAGTTAACAAAAATCTAGATTTCCAGTGGGGATGGCTAATCTGTATGTTATCATAATGCCTAATTCTGTGGCAACAATTAATGAATTATGTCTTAGTTCTTAGAATCTTGATTTCACAGTCTACGAAGAAAGTCAGATATCTCCTGTGGCTTTATTGATTCTTGAATCTCGAATGAAAGTCAACTCTCATGGTTGTCTGGGTTTGCAAGTTATCGTTAAAAAAAAAAAAAGGTTCGCATCATGCACAACAATATATCACATTAGACATGTAAAACATTAATCTACTAGAAAAAGGAGGCTCAAATTAAGATGAGCAGAGTATTTCAACATGAGAAACTTCATTAAAAATAATGGGATAGGCCGTAAAGGCATGCGATTTAGTGTTCCAAAATCTCATAATTGTTCAAGATGCCTCAAAAGATGTATTCAAGGAAAGAGCCAAAATCTTGAATCATAAAATTGAACCATCATCAACAGTTGTTTGGGAATCAGGTCAGTTATTTAAAATAACAGGTATAAAATCAAGGAGCCATCAAAGTCAACAAAAAATTGCCAACCAAACCATAAATCACAAATTGAATCATCATCGACTGCTGTTCGGAAATCAGGTCAATTGTTCAAAATGACACTAGGATAAAATCAAGGACCAAACCAAGTCCTACAAAATTTGTCACCAGCTGTCTAACCATAGTCATTAGCTCTAACACTCCTAGTACCTACATGTATGAATGAAAAGAAGTCAAATGAAACACGCACAAAAAACATTTACCTACCACTTTGGCCTCACAAGTTCCCCAAAATTTTCTCATGACACTCCCTCTACTAAAGGACACAAAGAAAAACTAGAATTTAAGTGAAATTATATCAGCTGCAATCAATAACGAGAGAACCAATGACATCTAGCAGAACCTACAAATGACCCAAATCAGACTTCTAATATTCCTCAATTGTCAAGGTTTGCACAGTAAGATTATAACTTGACTAAACCCAATAAATTATACTAACTAAAGCATATGTTATGCATATCAAGTAGTACTACCATTAAGAATCGCATAATCTAATCTGCGTGGAATATAGATAACCTTTTCATTGCAGGGCACAAGACCGCGAAGAGTGTCAAGATGAGCATTAATCCTCTCTCTTCTCCTCCTCTCCGCCTCACTATGGCTCTTCAATGCTGCCATCGTTTTCACCTCAGGGACTCCCCCTTTCTTCCTCGCTTTCCCTGGAGCCTTCACTAACTCCCCTTTCTCACCATCCAACACCAAAGACTGAGAAACCGAAATTGACCCACTTCTCCATTCCCCACTTAACTCACCTAAATTCTCTGAAAAAGGCCCTACCAACCCCATATAACTGTCTCCAAAGTTTAAACTATTTGTTTTCCCAGAATATGGATTCATGATCACACCTATATATCAAATAAGGGCGAGTATGTATACTATTAAAGGATCAAGCAGTCTAGAATNTTAAAAAAAAAAAAAGGTTCGCATCATGCACAACAATATATCACATTAGACATGTAAAACATTAATCTACTAGAAAAAGGAGGCTCAAATTAAGATGAGCAGAGTATTTCAACATGAGAAACTTCATTAAAAATAATGGGATAGGCCGTAAAGGCATGCGATTTAGTGTTCCAAAATCTCATAATTGTTCAAGATGCCTCAAAAGATGTATTCAAGGAAAGAGCCAAAATCTTGAATCATAAAATTGAACCATCATCAACAGTTGTTTGGGAATCAGGTCAGTTATTTAAAATAACAGGTATAAAATCAAGGAGCCATCAAAGTCAACAAAAAATTGCCAACCAAACCATAAATCACAAATTGAATCATCATCGACTGCTGTTCGGAAATCAGGTCAATTGTTCAAAATGACACTAGGATAAAATCAAGGACCAAACCAAGTCCTACAAAATTTGTCACCAGCTGTCTAACCATAGTCATTAGCTCTAACACTCCTAGTACCTACATGTATGAATGAAAAGAAGTCAAATGAAACACGCACAAAAAACATTTACCTACCACTTTGGCCTCACAAGTTCCCCAAAATTTTCTCATGACACTCCCTCTACTAAAGGACACAAAGAAAAACTAGAATTTAAGTGAAATTATATCAGCTGCAATCAATAACGAGAGAACCAATGACATCTAGCAGAACCTACAAATGACCCAAATCAGACTTCTAATATTCCTCAATTGTCAAGGTTTGCACAGTAAGATTATAACTTGACTAAACCCAATAAATTATACTAACTAAAGCATATGTTATGCATATCAAGTAGTACTACCATTAAGAATCGCATAATCTAATCTGCGTGGAATATAGATAACCTTTTCATTGCAGGGCACAAGACCGCGAAGAGTGTCAAGATGAGCATTAATCCTCTCTCTTCTCCTCCTCTCCGCCTCACTATGGCTCTTCAATGCTGCCATCGTTTTCACCTCAGGGACTCCCCCTTTCTTCCTCGCTTTCCCTGGAGCCTTCACTAACTCCCCTTTCTCACCATCCAACACCAAAGACTGAGAAACCGAAATTGACCCACTTCTCCATTCCCCACTTAACTCACCTAAATTCTCTGAAAAAGGCCCTACCAACCCCATATAACTGTCTCCAAAGTTTAAACTATTTGTTTTCCCAGAATATGGATTCATGATCACACCTATATATCAAATAAGGGCGAGTATGTATACTATTAAAGGATCAAGCAGTCTAGAATAGTTTATCCCAAAGCTTAAAACTAAACAGCTTCCAAGAATCATAATTCAAGGTCACACCTTTCAATTGATACAAAGTTTGAACTATTTGGGTTCCAAGCAAATGAACTCATGCTTATACTTTCAGCATAAAAGGTAAAATCTATTTATCAAACAGGTGTACGACTGTATCTATATATATGATCTACGGGTCAAGACCAGGAGGGCGAGTGGTTGGAGAGAACCAGAAAGAGAGCAACATTCGAGGGCGAAGCATAACCGTAGCATCTGAACTGGTGGCTCTAGTGGTGGGGGTAAGTGCCGTGGGCATACCTTCCATTACTTGAAAGAGGACAAATGGGTTTGGTTTTGGGGACGAGAGAGAGATAGATCAATGAGAGAACACCCACATTTTCTTCTTTATGATCTTGAATTTTGCCATTTCGATGTAGGAAAACGATAAACTGGTTTGAATCTTTAAGACCCAGTGAGGAAATCGATGAATATACAAAAGAAAAGAATCAAAAACCTAGAAAATCTATGCGGGTGTGTGTGGAAAGGGACAAGAGAGATGGGTCTGCGTAGACTAGGAGATCAGGGACGAGGATGTTTGACAGGAGAGGCGACAAACTCACAGAGAAAAAGATCTACGAACTAATGGGTTACCGGTTATGTGTGCATTTCTGAACTAATATATAGTCAATGGACAAGGGAAAATAACACTTTGACGCCCACTACTATAGATTCAATTTTCACTTTACACCTTGAATTATTGAATTTCTAACATTATCCCATAACTATTTGAATTGATTTCACTTACCTCAAATGCAATCATATGTTATCTTACAAATAAGGATTATCAATGTATCGAGGCAAAGTGAAATAAAAACGTATAGGTCAGGACAAAAAATGAAGTAACTTTTTATCTAATTATAACAAAAGTTAAATATTGAGTCAATGTAAAACTAATAACATAACTAAAGGTATAATATACAAAATATAATAGTTGAGGGAATAATATTAAAAAATTATAATTAAGGGGGTCACATATAATTTACCTAAATGAATAAATAATAGTTTAGGCATATAACATTGCTAAAGGTATAATATAAAAAATATAATAATTGGGGAATAATATAATAAAGAATTATAAGGGGGTCACATATAATTTACCTAAATGAATAAATCCCATCGTAGATTGCTTGTCTTTATTTATTTACTAATTATTGCTCGTGCCTGAAGGCACAGAGTAATAAAAAAAGATAAATAATAAAATATTTGTATTCATATTCAAAATCAAATTACAAATATAAAGAAGAAATAAATAAATTTAAGTGTCAGTTGTAGTGGGGGTGGCGGCGGCGGTGATGACGATGGTGGTGGTGGTGGTAGAGGTAGTAATGGATGGTTTTAAACACTATTTTTTTTTTAAAGTACTTATGAGAAATAATTCGTATAAGTACTTATAAAAAGTCACTTCCAACACACCCTCAAAGGTCTATTTTTCCTATTAAATTTAAGGTATTAATATTAACTGTTAGATTAACTTTAAAGTAAAATTTAAAACGATCTCAACCGCGAATAGCAAAAGTCATTTTGTTTATCTTTTGAGATTTGAATTGTAAGCTACTTTATTATATAGATATTTTTGTTCAATGGTCAAGGTTATTCGGACTAGTTTACGTGCAGTTCGACTAATCTTCTTTTTAGTTCGGTCAAATACAAGTCATCAATGCCAAAACTAAAATATTCATAAGACATAAATGTCTTTCGACCTGATTCAAAAGGGCTGTCTGTCTTTGATCAGGCCATAAGAGAATTAGTATATAAGCTGATCTAGATATCCCGAAAAAATAATTAAGCATTATTGAATAAATATTTTTTTCTTTTTCTTGTTGAAACAGTTAAATGGTGTACATCATGCCGGCTAACAACCCCAATGAAATTGGATTAATGTCATATTCTATGGTTATAATTCTAACATACATGTCCTTTCAATCTTTCAAAAATCGAGTTTACTTATAGTTGTACATGATATCATTATGTGCATTGCAATAATTATTTATTTAACCTTAATATCTTTACCACTATGATACTATTTAAGAACTAAATCCTTTTATTGATTGAATTATTTTTCATTGTCTATGGCTTAGTTGTGTGCGCCTGACTATTAGGCATTTTTTATTTAAATTTATTTGAATGAGGGGATAGAATGACCCGGTTGAAGCATAATTAAATTGTAGGGGCTAACAATGTTAGAGAGGTGTGTTTTTTTGGGGGGAAGAAATACACTTACGATTTTTGTGATTTGTGATTTAATCATTTAGATCCCTTAATATTTAAAATATTATATACAAATTTCCTGAAGTTTATACGCGCATAACACCTAAACCTCCGTCTTTATTGTCCGTTAGTATATCCGTTAATAAATTACACACAGACTCTCTAAAATTTGTAGAAGTGTCATACTTAAACCCTTCAAGTTTAAAATATTATACTCAGACTAAAAATATTTTAATCATAGATAGAATATCAAATATTTTAAATTTTACAACAAAAATTCATTTTCTATTATGACATTTATTGAAATAAAAATCAAAAATAAAAATTTAATTTTTTCTTAAAAAAATCATAATTAGTATATAATTATACTATCTATTAGAATTTAATTTGGTCGTCTAAACAACCAAATTAAACTATTAAATTACCCCAATTAAAGTTAAAACATATTGTGTCTATTACAGTTTGAAGTCTTATTTGATATTTTTTGTTTTATTCCAATAGATAGTATAATTGTATACTAATTTTAATCTTTTTTTAAAATAGATTTTTATTTTTGATTTTATTTCAATAAATGATATAATAAAATATGAATTTTTGGTTGTAAAATTTATGTTTTATTATGAATGACTTAGACCCTTTATTTGTTTTTTTAATTTTATTCGAATAGATAATATAATTATATACTAAATTATGATTTTTTAAGAAAAAAATTAGATTTTTATTTTTAATTTTATTTCAATAAATGATACAATAGAATATGGATTTTAATTGTAAAATTTAAAATATTTGATATTTTATCTTTAATTAAAATATATTTTGTCTAAATATAACATTTTAAACTTAAGAAGTCTAAATATTATACGCCTATAAATTTTAAGGAGTTTGAGTGTAAGTTGTTAATAAATATATTAACGGATATTGACGGTAAGGATCTAAGTATTATGCGCATACAAATCTTAAAAAATCTGTATATAATATTTCAAATATTATAGAATTTAAATAATTAAGTAATAAATCTCATAGGATATAAGTATTATTCTCCCTTTTTTGGTTTTTTTTTTTTGGGGGAGGTGGTGAATAGAAACTCAACCTTCAAGAGAGTTTGCATTGGCGTTGAAGAAAACACAAATTCACTACCTTGGATTCCACCTCTACAATTTCTTATGCTTTGTACTCTTTTAAAACGTTTAGTTTCCACTCTTATTAAAACAATGAAAGGGCCTTCACGGCACTATCATTATTTATAAGAGATTAAAAGAATCCTATTACTATTATTGATAAGCTCAACACATCATTTACTTATTCAATTGAAAAATGTTGGTGGTTTAGTCGAGGACTATGTAGCAATTGACTGGGAAAGTTTTTTAATTTCAAATACCAAGATTCAAGGCTAAATTATTAAATGAAAAATAAATCCGATAACATTCAACCTCAACAAAAAATGGACAATGCGGTACAAAATAATATTTATGTTGTATAATTCAACTCAATCATATTAAAGTAAGACATAACGTTCTTTTAAATTTCAAAAATTATTTATACTCGATTGATTCTACGTTAAATTTCTCATCAATTCGTCTTTAATTTTAAATTAATACTATGTGGATTTAAAAACTTGATCTAATGTGTTGATATAATGATGTGGTTTAAAAAGAATCATTAAATCAACACCAATTTTCAGTATTTAATGGGGCCTACAATCAATCCAAATGTCACAGTGAATAAGGTTAATAAGTTATATTAGTAAATTAGGTCTCAATAATATTGCTCTTAATTTTATAAGCTCAGTTCATATCATCTCTAATCTTTTTATAGAATTAATTCGTTGGAAGAGTCAAAAATAGTTTTGGGTTAGGACATATTATCATTTACATCTAATTGTGGTACTAAACATGTGCCACTAAATTATTCAAAATCCATGGAGATCAGCTATGCAATTATTTCTAGAAAATCAAGATAATATATTAAATTCATTTATTTTCAATTCGAAAAAGAAAAAAAAACATTTGTTTTACTAGGTTAGCAGGTAATAGGTCACTACTTGTTAAAAAATTTACGATTAATTGCACTAGTGGTCTCCAATGTATGAGATTTTTCTCATTTTAGTCCATAGTATTTTAATAGCATCATTTTAATCCTTAAAATATTGAATACATTTTTATATGGTCCCTCAATCAGACAGTGTCTAGATTGTTAACGATTGTTTTATCATAAACTTGTCACGTAATATCTAAATATTTGAAAAAAAAATAATTTGAATAACTTTTAACCAAATTTAGGTGAAAGAGCTATCAAAGTTACACATTTTTTATCATGAGCTATTCAAATTTTGGTCAAGAACTATCCATATTACATATTTTTTGTTAAGAACTACCCAAATTTTGGTCAAGATCTACCCAAATTATGTATTATCATATTTAGGTATCACATGATAAGTTTATGATAAAAAATCGTTAGTAATTTAAATGTTATCTATTTGATAGACCGCATAGAAACATATTCAATACTTTAAGAATCAAAATGATATAATTGAAATATTGGATACCAAAATGAGACATATTCTATACTTTAGTAATCTCTAGTACAATTAATCAAAAAATATATCATTACGCAATTATTTTAAAAATTAAAACGGAACAATGTATCATTTATAAGTATAATGACTTTTCTTTTTAAGCCTCTATTCATACTGGGGAGGGAGACTTGGCAATACTCAAACCTTGCACCAAGAGATAAGGGGGGAATAACACTAGAGATATGTCATTCCTCTCTGCTCAAGTATAATGACGTTTTTCTGACTAAATGATAAGGAGAATGGGGGATAAGATGGCTTAGTACTCACCCATCCTAGATCTAACCAAATTTAGTGGTCAAGTTGCGTATTAACTTTTCAATAGTTGCATGCTTGTTGACGTTTGCTTATCTATATATTTTCCGTAAGTATTTGAGTATTTATTACGTAGACTAGGCAGATATTCTTCACAATGACATTTTACATGTCCCTACCACAAATAGTGACACATTTGTCATTAGTAGCTAAGATTATAAACATTATTATGCTAAGGGTAAAATATATTTTTGGTCCCTTTACCTTTTTAATTTGTATCACTTTCGTCCCATCAAAAAATGGCCGTTGAAATCTACTAATGAAGAGTATCAGCNAAATTTTGGTCAAGAACTATCCATATTACATATTTTTTGTTAAGAACTACCCAAATTTTGGTCAAGATCTACCCAAATTATGTATTATCATATTTAGGTATCACATGATAAGTTTATGATAAAAAATCGTTAGTAATTTAAATGTTATCTATTTGATAGACCGCATAGAAACATATTCAATACTTTAAGAATCAAAATGATATAATT